CATTGTCAGTTTTGAAAATTGTGTGGCACTGGTTAAAAGAGACCATCCATTTCTACAAGAAAATTTTCTTCTCAGTTGTTTTATTGGAGGTCTGAGAGCTGATATAAAACATGAAGTGTGTGGACCAAAAGGAATTATTGAAGCCTACTGGTTTGCCAAAAATTATGAGAGAGCAGCCAATGCAAGGAAAACTCTCCAATACAGTCAGTTTAGAACTAGAAGCCCTTCAACCAACACCTTCAGGAACACACTTCCACCTGTCCAAATCCCAGGGAACAATTCTGACAAGGCAAAACAAATAACCAACAGAGACACAAGGAACTGTTGGTATTGTAGGGAACCTTGGTCAAGACAAAACAAATGTAAGATTGGTAATACTATACACATCTTACAAGAAGAAGCAGAAGAGCAACTGCCTCCAGAATTGGAAGAAGAGATATCACCTGAACAACTTTTTCATACTGCTCCTAATACTCCTGAACCTATACCTGGTGCAAAAGTCATGCAAATCTCATCTAATGCTGTGGAGGGAAGTACTGGACCTAGTACTTTTTCTGTGATAATTGACATTGCTAGCAGAAGAGCTGTGGCACTAGTAGACAGTGGATCTTCAGATACTTTCATGAGCAATCAGTTTGCTGTAGAGAGCAATTGTAATCAGAAAGCAGCTCCTCCCAGAAGTGTGGCAGTAGCTGGTGGAGGAAAACTGATTTCTGAAAGTTATGTGCCTGAAATGCAATACAAGATCCAAAATCACACTTTTCAATCAGGATTCAAAGTACTTCCTCTTGTCAGTTATGATATTATTCTGGGAGCAGATTGGATTTATCAGCATAGTCCCATTTACATGGATCTGATCAAAAGAATACTCATAGTAACAAAGCAAGGAAAATCCATAGTATTGAAGGATCATACTCATGTTGAAGATCATACCATGCTCTCAGCTGTACAATTGCAAAGGATGCTCCAAAAGGACATAATGGGTTTTGTTTTCCATATACAAGCAATCAGTCCTGAAGAAACAACAGTACCACCAGTACCAGAATTTGTTAAAGGGGTACTGCAGGAATATAAGGAGATATTCACTGAAAAGGAAGGTCTTCCTCCATCAAGAGAATGTGATCACAGGATTGAACTGAAGCCTGGAGCAGAACCTCCTAACTTAAGACCTTACAGAGTGCCACACTATCAAAAAGCAGCAATGGAGGAAATAATCACAGAACTGATTAAAAAGGGAGAGATTCAACCCAGTGTTAGTCCTTACTCTTCTCCTGCTATTATGATCAGAAAAAGGGATGGAAGCTGGAGATTATGCATTGACTTCAGAGAGCTTAACTTGTTAACAATTAAAAACAAGTTCCCAATGCCTGTCATAGAAGACTTACTAGATGAATTATATGGAGCAAAAATCTTCAGTAAGCTGGATCTGAGATCAGGGTATCATCAGATCAGAATGGCCAAAGAAGATATTCCAAAAACAACTTTCAAGACTCATATGGGACATTATGAATATATTGTTATGCCTTTTGGACTTTCATGCGCGCCAGCTACATTCCAAAATTTCATGAACATCCTGTTTGGGAAACACAAGGGATTCATCCTGGTGTTCTTCGATGATATTTTGGTTTTCAGTAAAACAATAGAAGAACACATTGAGCACTTGAAGATTACTTTTCAAATCCTAAAGGAAAATAATCTTTCAGTCAAAATGTCAAAGTGTCAGTTTGCTACACCCAAAATTGCCTATCTGGGCCATATCATCTGTGCAGAGGGAGTAGCTACAGACCCTACAAAAATCACAGCTATTCTCCACTGGCCAACTCCTACTACAGTAACAAAGCTAAGAGGATTTCTGGGTTTGACTGGGTACTATAGGAGATTTGTGAAAGATTATGGAAAAATCTGCCGGCCTTTACATGACCTTTTGAAGAAAGATGCCTTTCAATGGGGTACAACTCAAGACACTGCTTTTCAAACCCTGAAAACGGTGATGACCACTTGTCATGTGCTCACATTACCAGATTTTCAGCATCCTTTCACCATTGAAGCTGATGCTTGTGGAACAGGCATTGGGGCAGTCTTAATGCAGAGGAGCAAACCCATAGCATTTTTCAGTCAGAGCTTGGGTCCTAAAGCAGCAGCACAGTCAGTATATGAAAAGGAGGCCATGGCAATTCTGGAAAGCTTAAAAAAGTGGAGACATTACATTTTAGGCAACAAGTTGATCATTAAAATAGACCAACAAAGTCTAAAATATATGGCAACTCAAAGACTGACAGAAGGGATTCAACACAAACTCCTGGTCAAATTACTGGAATTTGATTATGTCATTGAATATAAAAAGGGAAAGGAAAATGTGGTAGCAGATGCCTTATCCAGAAGAGATGTCAAAGAACAAGGAAGTTGTAATAGCATGACACAAGTTGTTCCAGATTGGGTGGAAGACATTAAACTCAGCTATTTGGGAGATGCTGACAGCTCAGCCTTGCTACAGAAAGTAGCTGCAGATGTTTCTTCCACACCACAATATTCTCTTCAAGATGATGGATTATTGAAATACAAAACAAGATATTATGTGGGTACTGCAAATGGATTCAGGCAACAGCTACTGAACATTTTCCACTCTTCAGCTCTTGGTGGACACTCAGGGGTCAAAGCCACATATCACAGATTAAAAAGAAACTTTTATTGGCCTCACATGAGAAAAACCATAGAAGAATTTGTGAGCCAATGCCCAGTGTGTCAAGTGACCAAAATAGAACATATCCACCCACCTGGTGTGTTAGATCCAATTGAAGTAGCTCCTATGGCTTGGGCTCATATATCCATGGATTTTATTGAAGCTCTGCCAAAAGCTCAGGGAAAGGAAGTGATTCTAGTGGTTGTAGACAGACTAACAAAGTATGCTCACTTCATTCCTCTTTCACACCCATACAGTGTGCAGTCAGTCTTCCAAGCACTAATGGATAAGGTCATCAAATTACATGGCATCCCTATGGTCATTATCTCTGATAGAGATAGAATATTCACAAGTAAGTTATACAAGGAGCTGTTTCATGCTTTGGGAGTGGAACTAAGATTCAGCACAACAGATCACCCTCAAACAGATGGACAAACAGAGCGAGTGAATCAATGTCTCGAAGCTTATTTGAGAGGGATGGTTTTCCAGGAACCAAAACAGTGGATTAACTGGTTGCCATTGGCCGAACTATGGTACAATACTTCTTATCATACATCCTTGATGTGTACTCCATTTGAAGCTTTATATGGCTATAAACCTCCACAAATTGGTGAATTCTCTATTCCAAACAATCTATCGACTGAAGCTCAGGTTACACTGGAAAGCAGAGAACAAATGGTGCAAAAACTCAAGGAAAACCTCTTGCAAGCTCAAAACAGAATCAAGTTCTATGCTGACATGAAAAGGTCAGAAAGAAATTTTGAAGTGAGTGACATGGTGTATCTAAAATTCCAACCATATAGACAGAATGCTTTTGGCCTAAGAGGATCTCTCAAACTCAGATCCAAATTCTATGGACCTTTCAAAGTGCTACAAAAGGTGGGGAATGTATCATACAAACTCCACCTTCCAGACGAGGCTGATATTCATCCGGTGTTTCATGTCAGCCAATTGAAGAAGCATATTGGACATCGTGCGGTTCCTTTGCCTCATGTTCCTCTGGTCACTCCGGAAGGATATGTGAAGACCTACCCAGTAGCGGTCCTCGACAGGCGCATCATACAACGAAACAAGCAACCGGTCGGCCAATGTTTGGTTCAATGGGAGAGTTTAGCTCCAGACGATGCTACATGGGAAGATGCTACCTTTCTTAACAACCATTTTCCAGGTCATCGGCTTTTTCACCTTGAGGACAAGGCGATTCTCAAGAGGGCGGCATTGTCAGGGCCACGACCCCGCCTGACAGGAGTTACGGAACTGAAGAAGGAGCGAGCCACACTGAAGAGAAGACAACGATCTCAAGTTCAGAAGAAGGACGGTCCAGATCTCGCGGTAACGATTCAAGACAGCATGGACGGTCCAGATCCGCAGGAGAGCAAGTTACCCCTGTTCCTCGTCAAGCTGCTGTCATTCTTGGGTTTTAACCCTCTGTAACGCTCTGGTGAAAAACTTGTAATATAAGCCCGTCGCACCGGCGAGGAGGAGAAGAAAATAGATATCTCATTCGCATCTCTCTAGTCTAGACTTAGGGTTCGTCCTTACTTGTACCCAGACTCCTCCCCAATTTGGGGTATCTACCAGTAAAATCCCCTGATCCGAGACAATTTCGTCCAAATTCGTAGCTCTGGTTCGATTGATCATTACCAGGGCCTCACAGGTAATCCCCTTTTCGAAAAAATAACAATACCAAGGTCCACATAGACGGCATCTATACTTCACATTCAGTTTTTCAGTGCAAAAGTAGACATGAGTGCTGCTAATGGAGTATCAAGGACATACCAGAGCTGACTGATTCTATTTGCTGGAGGCTTATTAAGTACTGAACATTTGCCACCTCATGAATTTGCTGCAGTTCCTCTACCGATACAGGTGGACCTAAGCCCTCCAGTTTTTCCTCATACACCTTCAAACAGCGTTCAAGAATAGCCTTGTTGAAAATTTCAACAAGAGATCCCGTTGATGGAATCTCTCCGTTATTCAAAGCTTCAAGAATCTGAAGCTTATTCTAAGAAACTAATTTATCCAATTTATGTAGATAGCAGCTACATCAAGTATCTTACCTGCTGCAGAAAGGACACAAATTCCTTTCCATTCAATGATTGATAAGTACCATTCTACTAATGAATGATACTGCTCTCATCTTTGTTCTGAAACATCCATCCAACCATACATGGAGAAGTTGCATAACCATTAAAACAAGACTCTAGCAAGAAAAAAAGTGATCGATAGCAGCATTTTTGTTCCACAACATTCATGCATAAACAGAGTACTAAACATGGATGACATATATATGATAATAAATTGGTCTGTTCTGTAGGCACTACTTCCACATTGTCATGACAACGTCCTTTGCCACCCCCCATTCAGCCGGAAGGATTCTAGCTACAAGCTCCTTGAGAACATGTGGGCAGCTGGATGTCAGATGCTCAAAACCGTCGCTTGCCATCATAGCTTTGAAATTGGAAGGAGAAGCAAGGAATTGCAAACAAGCCTCTTTGAGACGATGGAAACCATGCTGCTCTGCTAAAGCCAAACAGGTGGCCACCATGTTGGAATCGATGTGAGTGCACAATTTCTCCTCACATATCAGCTTCAGCCTGCCGATGTTGTACCTGTCAGCCGCCACGAGTAGATGCCTGGCCATCACCACATCAAGCACTGGAGGAACGGAGTCAGTGTATATGAAGTGAAGCAAGGACTTGAAAACATCAGCTTCCACGTCATAGATTTCAATAGGATTCGCTGCAGAACTCTCCTTCATAGTGCCAAGGAGCTCCGCCTTGAAGACGGATGAGCGAGCAGCGAGGACACACCTGTGGGCTGAGAAACTCTGTGCACCGACTTGAAAGATTAGGTCTGCTGCGTCCTTATTCTCGAGGAGGTCACCAAGGTGCTGGTGCAGGTCGCTTGGAGGAATCCTTGTTTCTTCCCCATGGATGACGGTGACATCGCACCTGATGGTGATACAGTCGTCTCTTAGATGTGCCGATCGCTCCAGATCAGCCTTCTGGAAGAAGTCAGGATAGCCCAAGCATGAATCTTTCTTTGAGAAGGTTAGTATAGGGGAGGCACGGCTGTATGAAGGCACCGGTTGTCCATTCTTGTCAAGTAGACTGAGCGTGAATTTCCCCTTCACATCTCCAGCATCAGCAGATTCAAGATGTAGGAAAAGGGATATGTAATGGGCATGAATCCTATTGTCACCGTTTGGGTAACATTCCACGGTCCAGACGTGCCCTCCAACACTGAAAGGGTCAGAGGTAAGGCACTTGCCGGTCTCGAGAAACGCCTTGGCTCTGGAGTATCCATCTACCTAGAGCACGTATGACCGCGCATATGACCTTTGCTCAGATACCATGGCAGCAGAAATCTTGCATTGCTCTGCCATTCTGGAGGTGGGCTTGGAGTAAGATGGAAGTTTGGCCAGAGGAATGATCAATTTGTTACCTCTATCTGTCTATTCATTCTCGCCGCTGTCCAGTGATGTCGCCGGAAGAACGGCCGCCACCGGCGCTAGGGATTGGAGGTGGTGGCGCTAGGAGGGTGGGAGGCAGAGCCCGGGGCGGGCAATGTAGGAGGTGGAGCTCGACGACGGGAGCTCGTGGCAGCGGCAGCGGAGGGGATCGGGAGGGAGAGACGCGCAAGGGAAAAGGGTGGCGGCGGGAGCAGTAGAAGGGAGAGAGAGGACTGGCGAGTTAGGTTTTCTTCCGGCTGTTTTTTACCAGATGTTGTGAGATAAACAGACGGCCAAGATCGGCTCAGGAAGGAGACTGGACGGCCAAGACTGCATTCGCCCAGAGTCGTCGGATTGTCTGTCCGAACGAGTTCTGGCCCTCCGGTTTTTGGATGGAGCAATCCTGGCCATCGGATCAACTTTGATGTGACAATCAATGAATAGTGCTTCTTATTTCTTACTTTTGAATTTATGTCGTATCTGGCTGACACGTGGGGTCTTTAGTCTGTGGGCCGCTACTGTCATTGCCTCTGAGTGTGGGTGTGGCCGGTGCTGCTATACATTAGCGCGGGGGTCATGCCACCGCGCCGTAATTTTAGTGGCCGCCGAGGGTTGTTCCGAGATTTCACGTTAGGGCGCTTGCGTGGCGTCTCGTGGATGGCTGGGCTGCGCGTACGGTGGAGAGAGCGCCCGATTGGGTGAAACCCTAGCCACTATACTCGTCGTGCCCTTTCCCTTCACTCTCGCGCCGCCGCCCTCGCTCGCCCCGTCTCCCTCCCTCTCGCGGCCATCCCTGCACACCCCGTCACCCTCTCGCTGCCACCCCCGTCTCCTCCCCTGGACTGGTCGTTCAGCGGCTTCTCAACTGGCGGCCAATTGTGCACATGCTCTTCCACCTCCCCAGTCGAGAGAGAGAACGAGGTTGAGTGGTAGATCACGACCTAACTATCGGTTTTGGTCAGCCGCGACGATTGTGAGGCACAGCCTTTGCCGGACATCGAGAAGGTCGGCTCTGAGGACACGATTTCACTAGTGATCAAGAAAGGGTGAGACTGGTGGTGCTCTCTTGTGCTCCTTTCATCCCGGCTCGCACGCTTCATCCACGGAACCGGTGGTAACTCTCTCTATCTCTCTCTCTCCCTTTCTCTCTCATGGTCTTGCCTTGCAGGTGTCCATCATTGTGGAGCTGGACGAGATCTCTGGCCAGCCCACCACATAGCTTGCGACCCTGGTTCTTGCCACTAACACGCCACCTCCTAGTTCAACATGAAGTAATGCATGGTAGGTGCTCGATAAATTGTCAGGGTGGGCCAATGAGTGTCTTTTTAGTGGTTGGGCCTACTGGCATCGATGAAGTATGTGTCAAGAAGAGCGGCTGCGTCTGCGATGACTGGGTTGTTAGCACTGTCTTCTAGATGGAATGCTCCTCTGGTTTCTTCCTATCTCACCAATGGATTCATTTGGGCTAAGAAAATGTGCTCTTTTTGAATCTGTGATGCCACCACTTTCTGCTATGAAGTAGTGATTCTTACATGATTTCCAATTTTCCATACATCAAACTCTGCTTTACTGTGATGTTTAATTAATGTAATATGCAAATTTTTAGAAATATCAAGGATATTAGGTGATGCTTATTTAGGCATGAAACCTTTATCTTGCCAAATTTCTATACATAGGCGACCTCTCCGACCTTTTCTACTTCTAGGGATGATGATGGTTCTGAAATTATAATCATATACTTGTTAAGTTCTATTTTTGTTTCTTGTGCTCATGTTTCTATCCTAAATTCCTAATCCAAGTAACCGGTTCTTTTTATTTTATTGACCAGGTACTTCATGGCAGTGCCGTGGACAACATCACCATAACCACATTGATGGTCCAAGCCCCAGCTCACAAAATCATTTTTAGTTGGGCTGTGAGCACCTCAACAACTCAACGTCAAATATAATTGATGTGTAGCCGCATATATTCTTTCTATAATCTATTTTGGCTACCATCATTTTTAGTTGTGCCATGAGCACCTCAACCACTCAACATCATCTATACCATGATTTTAGCAAAGAGTTATTTATGTTTATCATTGCCCACGCTTCTTATTTTTTTCTCATGCATGGCACTTAATATATTGTCTTACAGTTTAACACAACTTAGTGGAAAAGGGTGTCTTCTATTTATGTACTCTTCCTCTCAATCATCAATTTGCTCACAGTTATACATGTTTATGTATGTGTCTTCTGTCTCTGATCTTCATGTCGTTATGTTACTTTTCTCTCCCAATTGATTGTTCGTCCTTAAAAAAAGTTTTCACATTATCAAAAGGCTCCAAGCGGTATCATGGTCAGGAACCTATTTTCCAGCCAGCAGGAGATGGTCATGTAATCAACCATATCATGGATTGTGTTTTTTGTGGTTTGTGGCAAAGTAATGCTCTTCTTTTCAAATGTATGGACTAATAGGAGTCATAAGTTGTACCTCATTTCTTATACAAAACTGAGCTGGTCATTGGTTAGGTGAGACATGCCATGTGTCTGGACTTCGGTGACAAGTCTGAATGAATATATTAATTTGAGCAAGTATTCGATCCATATACTTGCATTCTTGATATTTGATTTTTATTTTCTCAACTATATGGACGTGTTAGTTCTTTAAAGATCTCTCAGCTATAAAATTGTTCTAGGCTCCTCCGCATTTTTTTGTTCTAGGCTACTTAGGATCTGACAAATACTACATCATATACACACTGAATTCTATCCTTCCAGGTTTATACACACTGAATTCTATCCTTCCAGGTTATTTCTGTTCCATCCACTTCCATTGTTGCAGGAATCTTTTTGCGTTTGATATTATATGGAAGAATCTATGTGTGCTATTTATGCTAAATTCGATACCCCATTTGTGGCTTTTTTCTCTCTAATATTTGCATTCAGGGCTATGCTAAATCGAGTGATGCTGCCATTGAGTTGACCATTTGTTCTGGTTTACTTACAAGATGATACAATGATTTAAATAGACGATGCAAATTTATCTGAGTTGAAGACCTCTCAAAGAAAGTTGTTAGCGGCTCTTCATGGGGAATGACATTTGAGAGTTTGTGTAAGCGACTTAATAAAAGATAAACTACACAATTTGACCAAGCACGTTGAGGAAGATAAAAACAGGAAAAGGATTTTGTGTATGATCAGGCTGCCTCGAGTGATTGCTCCCCTTCAAAGGTAAAACTTGCATGTTTCCATGTCCATGCTTATTAGCTCTCAATGCTTGATGCACCTATATTTTTTTGAGACAAAAAAGATGATACATATTATACAGTTTGATCACATTATTAATTTGCCACACGTGATGTTGTAGGGTGATTTGGTATACGACTCCAGGTTTAATGTCGACCACTGGGTTTGTAGGTTCTGCGCTAGAATGCTTACATAACACATATATTAGCTACATTTATTTTTCTTTCTTGCTTCTTGTTTATAGCTCATGCATGGCTAGAATTTAGAATCATTGAAAAGTTTACATGTCTGACCTTAATGATAGATGGGTTGGTACTATGGTCATACGTGATTTGGTCTGGTATTTGTTTTATGATGTGTTGGGCAATCGTCAATTTCCCTTTATGGAGCAAGTTTGTAAAGGGATACAAAGTACAGACCAACAATCTGCGTCCTAATACTAATGTATTTCCTTGATTCTCCAATTTAGATCGGAGCATTGAGACGTCCTGGCACTCATGAACCTCCTGGAAGAGGACAACCTGAGGTGGTCTGCCATGGGCACCTAGCGAGGCACAATGTTTGGGCGCTTCACCGCGGCTTCTAGGGGGGTGGCTAAGTCGTCGGCGTCGGGCAGTGGTGTTGCCGTTCGCATAAGCAAGCTACATGGCATCGAGAAGAAACCGGTATGCCTCATTCTCCTCTCGTCCCTATTCCATCTTGATCATCACCATAAGCATTCATAACAAGATTTGTTTAGTGATGGTACCTAAAAGCAAATCTGGACTTGGATATGCCTTAGCATTCTTGTCAAGATTTGTGCAGGTACTCTAAAAGAAAATGTGCTTGGTTCTTTCCTCAATACTCATAGCCCTTTTGTTTTGGCTTATACTTCGATCTTGAGGTCTGAAGCACAATAGTTAGGCGGCTACCTCACATGATGTGAAAAGTTAGGACAATGACTTTTCAAGCTAATTTTGAATGTTGTATGTTTTGCTGTGTTATATGTATGTGTTGTGTTTATGGTTGTTGATAGTGTTGTCCATTCTATGCCGGATGTTGTGGATGACTGAACTTCTATGTGTCATTTTCAGTGTTGCATACTGCCAAGTTCTAGAAACGGGGTGATGCTCGCATAGTTATTTGGCGTAAAGGAGACCAAGGTGAGATTATTATTGAGGGTATAGATGTTCTGTCTCCATGCAAATTTAGTGACCTTGCCTTCTCTAGCTTTCTAAGTATTACTAATCATTACTTACTACATTATTTTCGTGTACTGTTCCACAAAAAATACCTTAAAGCACGAACATGTACGTATTTCACAATTCTAGCTGACTCTAGTTCACAAATCACACTGTTTAACTTTGTTGTCCTTTGTATCTTTTAGCCTTTATCAAACATTGTATATTTCTACTTTGATTGTAACTTTTCATTTGTCCTTTCCAAAGGTGGATAAGAAAAGTAAACTTGAATAAGCACACTCATATGGAATGACATGCAATCACAGAAGAGAATTACCCCCTCTAATAAATTTTTGGTGTGGTGTTGTCTTCATGGTTGCAGGGCACGTCAAAAGGTTTAGTATGTGTCATATCGTTAGGGCAATGTTTTGAACACGGCGGGTATTGACACTAATAATGCCGCCATCATGCA